AAAATATATTAAAATATTATATTTCGGATTTCGGATTGGTTCGGATTTTAAGTATACCGATCCGAAAATCCAAAATTTGTTAAAAATTCAATCCGATTCAATCCGAAAGTCCGAAAAATCCGAACCAAATTTTAAATTTGGGTTTGATTCGGGCAACATCTGGACAACATATTGGATTTCTATTGTTCTCTTCGTTTTTCCAAGATTTATTTTTTATCTGTATCCACTGCCAATCTATTGTAGGTCGATTTTTCTCTCTATATCCACCAAAGGTTTCCTCTGAAATCGTAGAAAATTTCTTCAAATTATTTCTTCAATTCAAAATATGTGTGGGAAATGAAATTCCTTATTAAATTGAAACACTATATTTTGAACGAAAACAAAGGGATAGTGAAAATGCAAGAATTACTTGTGTCTCTGTGCTTTCAATAAAATATGCTTTCAATATATATATTGGTATAGCTAAAAATATTTATCTAGAATTCATCAAAACAATATAATAAATTATTAAGAAAATAATATTGATAGTTAGAAATCGCATCCTTTAAATGTTTATATTATATGCGATAGTTGATTGATTTTGATTGGATTCTGCCTAATTTGTACGTGTATTATTTATTTGCGGGTATACAGAGAGCAAATATCAAATTTGACATAATTGACCGAAAAAGTGAACAAAAACTCATATTTACACCCCGTAGTTAGTCATGGTCATGACTAACTCCACTCTCTTGACACGAGAGATTAATTAAAACCCCAAAAACGCAATAGTTACAAAATTAGACAAAAATAAAATAAAGAAATAGAGGGAGGTGGTGCCCCACTTTACATGCTGTCAAATAGGAGGTGCCCCGACGACTCAGGTCCATTTGCCACGTAGGGTTCGCTTAGTGTGTCTTTCTTGTCGGGCCTGGTTTGCAGGGTATTAGGTTCGGCTGGGGGTTTACCTAGTGCGCACTTTTGGGTAGCGGCTGCGGGTTCCCACGTCATAAAAAAAAAAAAAAAAAAAAAAGAAGAAGAACACAGGGTTTGTCCGACAAAGGATGACATGGTGATGTAAGGGTTGGACTTGTGACCGTGAGGTCATGAGTTCAAACCCTCAGGTCACCTGCCACACATGATTCGCCTAGTGTGACTTTCTCGTCGGGTCTGGTTTACAGGGTATTACGTTCGGCCGGAGGTTTATCCAGTGTGCACTTTCGGAGTTCTCACTGTCATCCAAATAAAGAAATAATAATATTATTCTTGTTAACTATTTATACACAGTAATCTATAGATACAATTTAGTTATTTGATTGAAAACAAAAATATGTTGGTACTTGATGCATTGTTTATATTATGATGTTAGTGGTATGAATAGATTAACAAAAATAAGCATTGATAAACTATTTTAGATTCTATTCGATTTGGGGACTAGAATTATTTCAAACCACCTAATTAAATTCATTTGAAAATAAAATAAATATACTAACATTTTAAACTTATTAATAAAATATGTATATTTTTGTATGAATATATATTAATTTAATTTGAATTTAAATAACTTAAAATACCAAAAATAACCAATCTTATATTATTATCTTAAGTGGGATTCCTTATTACTATTTTTTTTTTTTTATAATGTGGAACCCGGAGCTGCTACCCGAAAGTGTGCACTGGGTAAACTCCAGGCTGCCCGACCGGAAAGTCACACCAGGTAATGTGACATGGTGAATTTAGTCTTGTTAGAAATATTTCTATTATCAAATAATTAAATATTGACAATGGACACTTTACGAAAATAATTATTGTTCAAATTCTATTATCAAAATTAGAATTAAATAGTACTGTGTTTATTTTGTGTTCTCAATCTTATTTTCGAACTATTTTATATATAAAAAATCTTATATAATAATGCTTTTTTCACTCAAAATTTAATTTATTCATAATATATATATATATAATTAATTTTTCATAAACATACAGAAATACTAAAACAATCCAAATCTACAAGCAAACCCTTGGATGAAATATAATTTAGGTCTCAGCACTATTAATTAATATTTGTTTCTTTTAAAAAAATATTGATTAAATGTTTTATTTTTATTTATAACCATATATTCTATATTTTGTTTACATTCACAATATCAAAAAAAGTAATTTAATTCAATATTTTATTATTTAAAAATATCAAATTGTTCTTAAACCACATCCAAACGGTCTTTTTGTTTCACAAATTCAATTTTGATATCTTACTTTTTATCAATTTCTTTTCCTCTCCCAAATAATTTATTTCTCATTCAATATGTTGTGTTTTTGTATAGTAAAACTTGATTTTAACAAAAAACAATACAACTAAACTTTAAAACTTTTGTATTGAATCGAACAAAAAATAAGCATAAGAACAGCAAAGCGAAGTTCGGCTCAGCCCTTGGCATAACCCCAGAACATATATCGGACGTGTGGAAAGGAAACACAGGCACCAGCTCTACCTAGAACAACCTTGACTAACCGATTTAAATCCACCAAAACCCTAACCACAATCACTCGCACAGTGAACCCTCGCCGATACACGAATAAAATCGCACAAATCTCTCACTCTTATCCGAGGAAACACTCGCCCACAAACATAGAGTAAAACCCCCACACAAACTCCTCAATCGATCGCACACAGTATTGAGAGGAAGAAGACAAAGAGCAGAGAAGAGAAATCGCGATATGACGACGCGATGATTAATCAATCCGGGGAGCAGCCCTTATCTTCAAGACTTAAATCGGTTAGTGGACTGGGCCAAGGAACTGAGCCACGGCTTCTCACATTGGGCTTTAATATACAAAGGCCTCGTTACAAATCATGGGCCAAAATCTAACAAAGTCTTCACCCTTTTTGGCATGATAAAATGAGGGGCGCATAGTGGTATCAAAGCCCGGTTAGATGGTGAAGTGGACTGGGTGACATTGAGCATTAGTTGTGGTGATGGACTCGCCCTCGTGACCTGCGGATGTGCCTTGTTTCGAAAGTCTCCTGGCGGTGTAGGGTTGGTCCCGATTTAGGTGGTCAGGCAGTGAGTCCCTTTGTGATAGGCGGTACAAGGTGGGCATGGAAGGTCCATCGGTTGGTCCTTGGTTTGAGGGGAGGATTGTTGCGGTACAAACCCAAGTCCCACATGAACTTCACTAGAATTAGGCCTTTTGGAGAATATCCAAAAATAAATCCGTGTGGGCTTAGCCCAAAGCGGACAATATTATACTAGTGTTGAGTTGACCCAGTCCTAACACAAGATATAATTTTTTGTTTAAAACATTATATAAAAATTCAAAGTTATTATTATTTTTAAACCTCAAGTTAAAATATCCAACCGAAACTAATTCTAAAAGCATCAGTTAGGGTCACCTTCATAATTGCCTTTGTGATTACCTTTCTGATTTTTACTATAACAATACCTATTGTCTTTAATAATAAATACAGCTATTCTAAATTTATTACCTTTCTTAAGAACGGGTTACCTTCAACAAAAATAATAAAAACTAATTAAGTATTATTATTATTATTATTATTATTATTATTTTAAATCTTAAAATTTTAAATTTCAAATTCAATAAAAATTATTTATAAATATATTTAAAACTCATTAACCAATTATAACGTTTTATCTATCATATTTTAAAATTATTTTTTTTGGTTTCTAGTTTTTCCTATTCAAATTTTAAAATAGTAAATTGTATGCTTCAAATTATTAAAATTTACATAGATTAATATATAAAAATTAAAATATAATATTATATAAAAATATTATTAGACAATAAAAATATAAGACTATGTATAAATAAATTATTTTTATTATATTACTACATAATAAAATTATATAGAAATAAATAAATTGTTGTAGGTATCATAAAATAGTAAAGGTAATGAGTTGAAGGTAATTAACTACAACGTGTGATAAAGAAAGTAATTTGAATATTGAAATAAATATGACGTGAATAAGAGAGATAAAAAAAATAATAGACTAAAGGTAACGACTATAACAGATGCTCTAATGGTGCGTTCTTCTCATGTTATTTATTTATTCTTATTTCCATGTATATATCTTTTATTTGAAGTAATTATGGAATAGGATGTATTCATTAAATAACTTTTATTTATATATTTGTAAATAAAGAATATATAATAAATAGTGGTTTATAATAACATATGCTAAATTTAAAATAAATAAATAAATAAACCATGTAAATATTGGTGTGTTTGTTTTGTGAAATAATTTGAAGAGATTTTTTGATATAGAGTATAAAAAATTGTATAAATAATATAAAAGTAATAAATATATGTAATATATTAAATTTTTTGAAATATTTAGTAAAAATAACAAAACAAAACAAATAGAACACACTGACTTGTACTTGCCACTTGACAAAGGCTAAAGGGAAAATGAATTATCAAAAAATATATTTTTTTGAAAATACATAAAACATAGCCTATAAATACAACTAAATACTTTATTGAAAATAAATTATCAAAAATTTATGTATATCGGAAAAAAAAAACTAATGTATATCAAAAGGTTTTTTGAAGAATCCATAAATATATTCATATCGTACCAAAATTTTTAATAATTTCAATATTTTTTCGATGCAATAAGTTAGGTACTTCGAAATTCTCAATATTTTGTCTTAGGATGGAATTTATTAATTAATGGGCTTTAGTTCGATTTAACACAAGCCATCAAATTAAAAAAAGTTGGGTTAAATTTTGTTTGTCAACTCTTAAAGTTAACAATTTGCATAAACAAGATCGATCATCTAGACACTCAACATATATTATTACAAGCCATTCATTTATTCCAAGAAACAAAATGTACTCAAACATTAGGAAAATTTATTTTCGATAAACTCAAGAAAGAACCTAAAAACCCTTATTTTTAGATAGTGATCACACCATCTTATTCTCTCTACCTCTACTAGAGATAGAATATATATATATATATATATATATGGGCCGGGCGGGGTTGAAACACGGGCTCTCGGGCTCTAGCGTTTACGGTTCGCGGGCTCCCTACGGGCATTGAAATATACGGTGGCCACCGGAGTTCCAAGTTCAAGTTTTTCTGCAAAAGCTCTAGTGTTGAAATTAGAGCGCAACGCCGGTGGCTCCGGCGGCTTATCCAGCAGAGCGGATTTCTGCCGGAAAAGTACAAGAATGTATCGATGGATCCCGACGGCCGGGCTCGGGCCGAGATATGGCAACACCTCCTTACCTTTGTTGCATAATCAAACATTTTTTTAAAGAGGAATGGAATTAAAGTGAGCAAATATTGGAAACAATAAAATGTAGCATATTATATAGTTAGATTGTGTTCTTTTGTGGATTTTACCGCATATTTTTACTATTCAGAATTTTTTTTTCTTCTGAAAAGATCATATCGAACAGTTATTTTTCTTGTTTATATTATACTACAAATTTTATTTTATATTCGGAACATCACATCAATCTCTATTTATATTACATTAAACAACTATTCAAATTCAACTTTTTACTATTCAAAAATCCAAACTAAAAAACTAAAACCCACGAACAAACACACCCTTTAAGTGTTTTAAGAATATGATTTTTTATTTTATTTTATTATTAATTGTTGTAAATTATGAAAATATTTTGGATGATTGTAATGTTGTTTGAGTGAAATAATTTTTTATTAGTTCATAATTTTTTTAAAAAAAAATAAATAGTGTATTTTTATTAAGAAATATGAATTTATAAAAAAATTATTGAAAATTGTAGTGTAATGTACAAAAGAATAAGTATGTTGATTTTAAAACAGCAACTACTCATAATACTCTAATATAAAGCATCTTTTAGATAAATAAAATGGTAATAAAGTTCACTTAGGTAATAAAAGGTATAATTGTCTCAAATAAATCTAATAGCCACAAGTGTATGTATACAAAAAAACATACACTATAAAAAAAAAAGTATATTTGTAACGAAATTCTGTTTTTAAAGTTTACGTAACTAACGTAATTTCATCCCTAATTCCATCTTAAATATTATTGGTAACGAAAAAAGTAAATTTAGGAACGAAAAAATCTCGTAACAAAATTGATATTTTCTTATACTGATAACTCCGTTTGGTTGGAAAGTTTATAGAATTCTTACTATTCACAAAACTTTCATAATAGATGATAAATAAATGAACAAAACCCAAAATTTCATCGAAAGAACACAAACAAGTAAACTCATTCAATCATCACACACTACAAAAAAAATAAAATAAAAATAGTATATTTGTAATGATATTTCATCCCTAAAGTTAACGTAGCTAACGCAATTCCATATCTAATTCCGTCTCTAATATCATTAGTAACGGAAAAAATGAATTTAGAAACAAAAAAACCTCGTTACAAAAATGATATTTTCAACAAACAAACAAACCCTAGATGAGAATAAATAAATTAGGGGATTGTTCTTTTTTAATTTGATTTTGTAGTTCAATTTTTAAGTTTTATTCAAATAGTGGCTAAATATATCTTATAGAAAATCGTAATTCTCATCTAATAAAAATATATGTATTAAATTTAAATTACCTATGGAGGCATTAGAGCAACCTGGAATGTCTGTCACAATCCTGCACAATTATTTATCATATTAATATATAACATCAAAATGTTCAAAATTAATCAATACCATAATGTAATAAATTTTGTTTCTTTCTTTTTTAGAGTGTAGTTTGGGCATTAATACTCCATCCGTCCACACGATAAGTATACATTTATTTTTGGCGTTAAGTGTAAGAAATATCAGTAGTTTAATTACAATGAATAGGTAAAAGTAGTGTAATGACATTTTTTGTCTTATTTTTTTGGTATAAAAGTGACGATGTGATGTAAAGTAATGATATTTAATCAAATGATTACTTTGTAATTGAACGTCCTAAAATAGAAATATATATATACTTTGTAGCTGGCCGGAGCGAGTATATCATTTTCGATTAATCATTATATATATATATATATATATATGTATGAACTAACCAATTCACCCATTCCCTTAAGCTTGGCTCACTTGGACTTGGAGCATCAGGATCTGTCATTACCTGCATTTAATCAACAACACAAATTCATACAAATATATCTATTTAAAAAAATAAAATAAAATAAAATAAAATAAAAACTATATATGAAAAGAATTAGTAGAATTAAGCTATATTATAAGGTTCAAGATACATATACTTGTTTAGTATAATATTTTATTTTATCTTTTTTGCTCCTACAAATTAGTTCGTTCGTATCGAAATTTATTCAGTACGCACGGAAAGCAGCAACCATATATGACTATGGTTCCGAATGACATAGAAATATATATATATTGTGACGAATTAAGGTAATTAATTAATTTTAAGATATTTAATGCATTAATCAAAATCCGCAATGTCTTAATTTTAACCGTCACACATAATTTGTTTTTATGTAACTGTAGTTTGCAAGCTGTTGCGCTCGACAAATTTATCGGTGCACATTCAGAGTGTGTTTGTTCGAGGGATTTTGAAAAAAAAAATAAATTACTATTTATAAAAAAAAATTTAAAAATATCAAATCAAATACCTATTTTTTATTTTTTATGTTATATTAAAAATTGATTTTACATTCAAAACATCAGATCAACATCTATTTATAACATATCATACAATTATTACAATTTAAAACTTTTACTATTTAAATCTCAACTCAAAATTTAGGGATTTTGCAAAAAAAAAAATTACTATTCATATAAATTTTTCCCTTAAAATATCAAATCAAACACTTATTTTTTTTATATTATTTTAAAAATTAATTTTACATTCAAAATATGAAATCAACAACTATTTATATCATATCATATAATTGTTTCGATTTAAAATTTTTACTATTCAAATCTCAATTAAAAATCCAAAATTTTAAAAAAAATTAATAAAAGTGAAGAATTAATAAAAGTAATTAATTATTATTATTATTATTATTTTATGAATAGTTGGATGAGAGAGAGAGAGAGGAGAGAGAGAGAGGATGGAGAGAGAGACCAAGGTGTAGAATTGGTCAGGCAGGCCGGCGATGTAAACTCTGGGGGCGTCGACGGCGGCGGAGGGCTTGACGTCACAGCCGTTGTTGACGTGCTTGGCGGCGTAGTAGACGGACATCGCCACCGACGGCACCGACACGTCGACCACGTCGCCGATCACGCGCCGGACGATCATTGGATCAACACGCGCCGCCATTGCTAACTGCTACAGCTACTGCACTCAACTTGTATAATTTCAGACAATCTATACGTATATATATATATAGATATAGAGAGAGAGAGAGGAGAGAGAGAGGGGTGTGGCAGAGGGAGATGCAACCTATAGAACATGCACAGGGCAATGAATAAAGAGGCAGACCACGTGTGAATATACTACCTGCCACTAAAGTTAAGCCTCACTTCAGCTTAGACTAGAGGGACATTTTTGGAATTTTCAAAATAAAAAGAGTAACAATTTTTTTTTACACATAAAATGTTTAATATCATTATTATATTGATTTATAGTAAAAAAAATAAAAATGCCCATATTAGATTGTGTGATAAAAAAGTAATGATATTTGTGTAATATATTGGAAGTTGTAAAGATATTAATTATTTTAAGTAGATAGTAAATTACTAAATTAAAAAATTGTATCTTCTTTTGGGATGGACAAAAATGAAAAATGGTATCCTTCTTATGAACAGAGGAAGTAGTAATATTGAGGAAAATTATAATCTGTTCACTCATTATTTTTAGATAAATTTATTTTTTTCTTGTGTGGTATGAAAATTATGTAAGTAACATAAAAAATAATATAGAAAAGTCAGTCTCTCCGTCTCACTTAATAATTATATATCCGTCTATTCCATATAATTTGTCATTTTTTTTAAAATATAATTATACACTTTAATTACATTTTAAAATTCATAATTTATAATTTTTTTATTTTAATTAAACTATTTAATCATTTTAATCTTAATCTATAATAATTTTATTAAATCGTAATTATTTTTACGAATACATTTTTTAATTACTTACTAATTATACAATAAATAAACTTCGTACTTAAGTTAAATGAGACAATTTAGCTAAATTATGTTTGTTTGTTTGTTTGAATACAGAAATTTAAAAATAATATTGTCTTCGTCTTAATTCAAAGTACCTTTATTACTATTTTCTTTTGTTCCACTTAAGCTACCATTTTTTTATTTTAGTAAAAATAATCATACACTAATACCAAAATACCATTAATTTTTACTTAAATGAAAAATATACCATTATACATAATATCGCAAAAATGTCCAAATATATTACACATTTTCAATAACCAATAAAATGTTATAATTTTTTAAAATGATGAAAATTATTTTCCACGTCTAAATAGAGTATGACAGCGATAAGGAATCTCATTTAGGAACAAATATATATATATATATAATGTATTTGCTTGAAATTTTTTATATGTTGAGTTATTTCAATTTAAACTAATAAAAATATAAAAACAACTTAGACTTAAATAAATATTTTGAACAAAATTATATAAATTATAAATGAAATACTTTATAGCTAAAAAAGTCATACTCCCTCCGTCCCATGTAATATGGGTATATTAATGTAGACAAGGGAATTTAGATAAAGTATAATTAGTAAGTAATTAAAAAATGTATTAGTAAAAATAATTATTATTTAGTAAAAATAATTATAGATTAAGATTAAGATAAGTAAATAGTTTAATTAAAATTAAGAAAATTATAAAATTTAAAATGCGATTAAAGTGCATAATTATATTTTCAAAAATAGAAAAGACAGGTTATGTGGGACGGACAAAAATAGAAAATAGGGACAAATTATATGGGACAAAGGAGTATTAGGCAAGTTGACATATTCAACCGATCAATAAAAAAAATATACGATAACAAAAAATATACACATTATAATTAATATGCTTTAACATTATCACGAATAATTTTCATCATAAATCACTGTACAATTTTTTAGTTACGAGTAAATCGAAATTTCTAAAAGAAAAATAAAAATTATTTTTGACATCTACTAGAATATAAAATCAATAAAGATTCCAATGGAGGGACAAAAATGTTGCATGTATTTGTTCCGTAAATTTTGGTGTTTTAGGGTGTATTTGGTTTTATTTTAAATAAAAATTACTATTATTTAGTTTGTAAGATTAAGTATTTCACTATTTTTTTCTCATAAAATATAATATCAAAATACTATCTAAATCAAAATTTCAACAAAAAAAATAAACAAACACTTGAATTATTTCAATTTATATATTACACTTTTTTTTATAAATCAACTTGAATGCACACCATTAATTAAAATACACTCTAGAATGAAAAAAAAAAAAAAAAAAAAAGAAAAACTTAGTATGTTCATTTGGGGTTTTGGATTTTTTTTTTAATATTAATTTTTTTAATTTGAATAATTATTTAATACAATAGAAAAAAATATTATTATTTTGATATTTTGAATGTAAAATTAATTTAGTATAATATAAAAGTAGAATTTTATTTTCTAGGGTAAATTATTTTTTTAGTCCGTAATCGGACCATTTTATCATTTTAGTCTTGTAAGTGGAGCATGTTGCAAACTATTTCCATAAGTGAAAAATTTTCATTGTTTTAGTCCTCCGGCGCTGGAGGTGACATGTCCGCCAGGTGTCACGCGGGCATCTCCGGCGCCGGAGGACTAAAACAGCGAAAATTTTTCACTTATGGGACTAGTTTGCGACAAACTCCACTTAGGGTGTGTTTGTTTGGGGGATTGAATTAGATTTTCACTATTCATCTCATTCCCCCGAAAAATATCAAATCAAACACCTATTTTTCATTTTTTATATTATACTAAAAATCAATTTTACATTCAAAATATCACATCAACACCTATTTATATCACATCATACAACTATTTAAATTTAAAATTTTTACTAATCAAATCCCAACTTAAAATCCAAACCCCCAAACAAACACATCTTACAGGACTAAAATGATAAACAGGTCCAGTTACGAAACTAAAAAAACAGTTTACTGTATTTTCTATTAAAATAAAAAATAGAATTTAAAACATCATAGACAAGTTGACATACTCTACTAGGAAACATTATTTGATAACTAAAAGTAGATAATGTTCATTATACCAAATCATTATATACACAAGTTAAGTAGATTTTTCCATTATCAGTAATCTTAATATATAATTTTTTATTGTTACTAAATCAAAATATTATTTTATAATATTAGTATTTAATTTTTAATTAATTTATTAATAAATCAAAATGTCTAAAAGGAAGAAAACATTTTCAGCATTTAATTAAAATATTAAAGTAATAAGAGATCTAAGACAAAATTGTAGAATGTATATGCTTGTTATTTTTTGTATTTTAAGTTATATCAATTTAAATTTAAAAAATATATATCATACATTAATGGTATTTTAAATTAAATTATATATTATAACAAAATTGTTTACAGTAGAATCAAAAATCATACTAGATCAGTACCAAGAAAAATGATCAGATAACAAAGATATGTCATATTAATATAAATTTTTTCATTGTCAATCACTCTATTTTTCTATTTTTTGTAAACTAAGATAATTGTGTACAATTTTTTTTTTTATGATCAGTAAATCGGATTATTTAAAAGATCAATATTATTTTCAATATCTAAATAATATGATAGTAATAAGGATCTCATTTAGGGATAAAAATAAAATATGTATTTGTTTACGATTTTTTGCATTTTAAATTATTTTAATTTAAATTAAAAAATTATCGAACTTAGATGAATAATTTGAATCAAATTATATATATTATCAAAATAACACTTTACAACGGGAAAAAAACCAACTAAGTTAAGTGATAGTTTCGACCAAAAAAATTTAATTGATAACAAAAATATATTTATATTATAATTAGTGTATACTCTAATAATGTTGAACTAGAACTTCTTCATATGGACATTTTCATCGTGCCAAATCAACATATGTGCTAGTGAGGTACATCTTTTTACTATCGATAATATTAAGTTATAGCTTTCTATTAGCCGTAGGTCAAAATATAATTAAATAATATTAGCATTTCATTGTCAATAAACAAAAATATTTCATTGTCAGTGCCTAAACAAAAAAAAAATTATTGTATTATGAATACATAAATAAACACATCATTACTTTATTTAATTTTGATTATAGAATTTGGACAAAAATTATTTTCATATGGTGTCCATAGTGAAGTATTTAATTATCAATTATTTGGTAATCAAAATATGCATATTATAAATAACATATGACATATGTTCTAAAAATTCTAATTTAATTCATCATGTCAGATTCCGTCCGTTTCACTCAAATATATTTTTTTTTAATATATCATTGTATAATTTTTTTTATTATTAATAAATTAAAATTGTTATAGAATTTTCTATTATCAGTAATGAACATATCTATAAAAATAATCAACATCTAAATAGCATATGAATTAAGGAATAATATAAGATGTATTTGTTTGTGGTATTTAATGTTATATAAATTCAAATTATATAAATATATATATAACAAAAATATGCATATTATAACTCGCATATATTCTAATAATATTGAGCTAGAACTTCACCGTGGACAATCTTATCATCCAAATCAACCAGTTTCAAGATTAATAACTATCGGATAACAAAAATATACACATTATAACTAATACATATGTTCTAACATCATCAAAAATAATATTCATCATGCTAGAATAGCATACATTTTTTCCAATGTCAATCAGTGTACGATTTTTTAGTTATGAGTAAATCAAAATATCTAAAAAGATGAAGATTATTTTTTACATCTAACTAAATATAAAAGTAATAAAGAATCACACGTAGGGACAAAATTGTTGCATGTATTTGCTCGTAAATTTTGGTATTTTAGGGTGTATTTGGTTTTTATTTTAAATTAAAGTACTATTATTTTGCCTTTAAGATTCTTAATTTCACTATTTTTTTTTTCATAAAATATAATATAAAAATAATATTTAAATCAAAATTTAAAATAAAACAAACCCTTGAATTATTTCAATTTATATATTAAAAAAATTTTAAAATCAACTTGGATACATATCCTTAATTAAAAAAAATACTCTAGCATAAAAAGAGCAAAAATCCTTAGAGTGTGTTTGTTGGAGGTTTGGATTTTTTAATAGTAAATTCTTTTATTTAA